TAATGTTAACAATACTGGTCTACAACAGGCTGTTACATCTAGCACCTTTGGCATTAAATCTTTTTCAGTACCATTTACCACATAGTCTTACTTTGTTATACAACCAAGGTTTCTAAACATCTTAGTCCACATTAAATACCATTTCGGTATCTTAACAGTTTCTCAGTGCAATTTCACCGATTTAATCACATAGTTTACGCTCATGGTAAATTTAGTCTCAGAGGGAATAATCCTCATTTACGACATTTAGCCACAGGTTGTACATACATGTATTCCTACCCATGTTTTTAATCTAAGAACGTGCAGTTCCACTTCTGCACCCAATACAGAACATACACCTTTTCTGTACCTTAATATCACATTTAACCTTTCGAGTTTACTAACTTCCACCAAAACACATTGGTGAATCAATATCGCACCACCTTTCACCTTTTTTACCTAGTGGACCACTGATTATAGTTTGTATATCATATTGGCCATTTCAAAGCCTTCAACCATAATTCCACTCATGAAATTCTATATACCAGGTCATACCTACAATTTACATCAATTGTTCATTTCTTCATCAACTTAGTCATCTCAAGGCTTACATACAATCCATCAATGATTTTTCACATTCAAGACACATGCCTAAGATTTCCACCAACAACTATGTTTACATATCGTTCCATACTCATGCTATAAATTCCACATATATTTCATTCCGGTAAACCTCAATTTCATAAATTGATGCGACTGAGTAGCCTTAGGAACTCAAAACTTGGTTTTTATGTGTTTTCCCTTACTATTAGGCTTTTTTATCATAACCTTTGGCTTGCATTCTTGAGGAGATTTCTCCTTGTGCTCTTGCCCACCTTTCTTTCATCAATATAATAGACTTGATCTTTCGATTGAGCTATAGGTGATGGAGCTTCTTTTTCAAAAAACTTGAATATGCTTACTCTTTGTCTACCCTTAAGAACAACTCATCATTCGATATATCAATCAATGCTCCTGAGGTTGCCAAAAAAGGTATTCCAAAATTCATAAGAATAATAGCATCTTCCTTTATACCAAGGATGACAAAATCAACAGAAATGATGAACTTGTCTACCTTGACCAATATGTCCTCAATGATGCCACAAGCTTGCTTTGTGGAGCGGTCATTAAATTGCAATATTGTTTTTGTCGGCTTCACTTCCGTGATTTCTAGCTTCTTCATTATGGACAATGGCATTACATTAATGTTGGTACTGAGATCACGTAAGACTTTATCTACTTCAACATTGCCTATGGTGTATAGAATGCTGAAGCTCCCTGGATCCTTGAGCTTGGTAGGTAACTTCCTTTAGATAATGGCACTGCATTTCTCTGTTAGAATTTAGCATAATTGGGCATGTTCCCCAAGGCCTCAGCAAAAGGGATATTTATTAATTTGCAACTTCTTGAAGACATCTAGAAGTTTGGCATATTCTATTGCTTCTGAATCTCCTGCTTGAGTCTTCGTGGATAGGAAATTCGTGCATATGGTGAGAGCTCCAATGGCTTATCCTGCCTTTCTTAAGCCTTCTTCTTTTCCCACTTGAACTCTTTCTGTTTAATCTTCTTAGGGGTCTCCTTTTCTACAGCAGTATCTTCGGTCTCTTTCTTCTCCCTTTCTTCAACAAGGGAATCAACATCACTCTTCTTCTCATCATTCTTCTTTCCATCTTTAGGACGGATTACTTTCCCGCTTCTAGTGGTAATGGAATTACAGTGCTCCCTTGGATTAATGATGGTATCCCTCAAAAAAAGTACCTTGTACTCTTTCAGATATATGCCGAGATAATTTCCTGATTTGAGTCTTAAGATTTCTTATAGAAGCTTCTTGATTCCTGAATGTAGATCGAGCTTCTTGAATAAATGAAGTAGTATCATTCTTGAAAGCATCTGTATCTTGTATGTATTCAGTCGTGGTTTTGTGAGTTGTGCCCAGTGCCTTCTCTAAATCTGAATTGTTACTTTGTTTAGGGAGAGGTTGTTGCACTGAAAAAGGTGGTTGCAACTGCTGTGATAATTTGTAGGAGGAACCCGGGTGATTTTTCCATCTTGGATTGTAAGTGTTACCAAACTGGTTTCTCTGGGGGTTGCTCTGATTCCTTTGATCGTACCACACCCCATTCACCTGAGCTGACTCTGGTGCTCCTATTATGTCATACTCTCCACTAGCATGATCTCCTGCGCAAACTTCACAAACCACTGATGGAGCATTAATAGTAGAAACTTGGAGAGTTGTGAATAGCTTCGTGAGGCCATCCGGTTATTGTTGTTGCTTCTTATGCATCTACATAATTTGCTCATTCTAAGCCAACAACGCGTCATAACCTTGTAACTGCATAATTCCCGCTCTTCTTAGCGGCATCGGAGCATTACCAAACTTTTGAGATGCTAATGATTCAAGTAATTCAAGCGCTTCCTCTAGAGTCTTGGATTGCAGAGAGCCAGAGATCCTCTTGAGAGGCTAATATTAATATTGAATTGTATAATAAGAGGAGAAAGATAAATGAGGCCTTAATTTGCATATTGATATTGTGGGCAATGCTCTCTAACTGCCTTTTTTTTTTAGTTAATATGATTTCCTTCATTTTGTCATATCTAGCTATAAATTGCCTCTTGTGAAATATTTTCAAGCCCTCTTTCCAACAACTATTATTCTCTCATATATTATGTGTTGTTTTCTCTAGTTTAATTATTAGTAGTGTTAAAGGTGGACTTGGATGAAAAAAATTATAGAGGGTAATCAATTAGAAAAATAGCATAGGGTGTAAGTGATAAAAAAGTAAACCATAGGGGATTTTATGAACTTGTACCTAAATTTTTTTACTAGTCAATGATTTATTTATATCAACGATTTATATTATTATAATATATAAAAATTAATTACCGAAATTGAAATATAATTTATGGAAAAAATGTTTCTACTTTTGTTGTAGAAAAATGTTCTCTGCCACTCTCACATAAAAGTTAGTGAGTCCCACTAATTTTTCTCTCTTCTCCTTTCAATGAGACCCACTCACTTTTAGAAAGGCATAGAAATTTTTTCTGCAATAAAAGCAGAAACATTAAATCCATTATTTATATGGGTATAAAATAAATTTCCCCCATAAATTAGAGCATGATAATTAAGTTTTGTTTTAAGTCATCAACTATTTTTTATTATTTGGAAAAGTTTAAAAAACTCATTATGATTTTGCTTTATATCGGTTGCATTCCTATGCTTTCGTTTAATCACTTATCCATTACGATTTTTTTCATCCAAACACATCTTTAACACTATTAGAAATTTTTTTTTTTTTTTTTTGTAAATTATTAGAAATTTAACTAGTATACTTATTTTTCCCTTCTTAGAGCAAAAGAATATACTGATGACAAAACAAGGAAAAATAAGACAAAAAAAGTTAGAAGCTTACAACACTCACAAAAAAGACTAAAACTAAAACAAAATAATAATGATAGTAGTAAAAAATATCAAATATGTTTAAATCAAAAAGAAAAATAAATAAATTAAGGACAAATGATAGAAGAAAAAATAATATCAAATATGTTGAAAACTTATAGCAGTGATAAAAAAGACTAAAAGTAAAAAAAAGTAAAAATTAACTAAAATAAAAAAGAAGAAAATAAACTGAAGATAAAAATGAAATAAAATAAATAGAAGAAAAAAAAATTCACTTATTTTTTTCCTTTCTTTTCCTCTCTATTTTCCTCTTTTTGATTTAGAAATGTTTGATCTTATCCTCCCAAATACCATCTTTGTAAAAAGTTTAAAGCCTTAATTCTGAAATCGCCTCCCGTGTAGGATACCTGTGGTTTATCCAAAAAAGAGAGAAATGTTTGGTCTTTTTTCTTCTAATTTTATTTTTTCAATTAAAAATAATAAAAGAAAAAGAACTCAGTGTTATAAATATTCAACACTTTCAGTCTTATTTTTTCTTCTATTTTCTTTTGTCTTCAATCTATTTTTTATGCTATTTTCAATTATTATTATTTTACTTTTAGTCTTTTCTATTAATATTGTAAAAATTTTAACATATTTAGTCTTATTTTGTCTTCTTCTTCTTTTTCCCTAATTCTACTTTCATATTTTTTTAGACATTTTTTTCTATTTTATTTTTTAGTATTTTCTATAAGTATTGTAAGTTTCTGACATATGTAGTATTATTTTTTATTTTTTATCCTCAATTTAGTTTTTTTTCTAAGAAGAGTAAAATAGATAGATTAGTTTAATTTCTAATAATATTAAGGATGAATTTTGATAGAAAAAATAATAGGGAGTAAATGATTAAAAAAAAATAAGGGTGTAAGTGATTCACTGCAAAATCATATGGGGTTTTTCGAACTTTCCTCTTTTATTTTTTTTCTTACTTAAACTATAAATATCTTCCACGAGAGGCAATCCTGTTTGACCGAGAAACATCCACGTCATGATGGGACTAGTTAAAGAGAATTTTTTTTGCATTTCACAACACTCTTCAAGCATGCCTTAATGTCAAATATTTATTATTGCTTTCGGTTTAAATTCCTGCATTTAATGTGTAGATTATATTTAATTTTATATCAGATGCTCATGCTCTTTCGTTGACTAATGGTTAAATTACATTTTTTTAAAAAAATTACCAATAAATTAATAAGTTAATATTTTATTATTGTTTAAGATACATTCAATGATATGGATTTTTTGTTATTGGTAAAGTGTCTGAATTAATAATTTTTTTTAAAGAACTTTACTAATAAATAAAAAAATTTAGCAATTAATATTCTTCTTTGACATATATTCAACGTTGGAGATTATTTTCCATTATTGGAAAAATATGTAAATGTAAAAAGAAACCCCGTAATTTTGTTTTTCGGTAACAAAAAGAAACCCCATCATCCCTTTACTCTAGGAAACATTAACCGTATCTACTTTAACATCATGAATAAAAGCCCATTACATGTTATATTTGCAACAAGTACCTTGAATTCACAAGCATAGACTAGTTATGGCTTTGTTTTCAAACATGCCTAGAGCAATTGTTCTTCTTCTGCTTCTCATTTTGTCAACACCATTCATTCACAAAACCAAAAATCTTGCTGTGGCAGATTTCAAATTGATTCAAAATTTATGTCACAACTCTGAGTCACCTGAAACTTGTATGAGGTGTGTGCAGTCTTCTAAAGATGCTGAGAAATCTAACAGTGTTGGTATAGCCATAATCATTGTTGGCTGCATTAATGACAAGGCAAAGACCTTGGCACTCAACATAACACAATTGGCTTCTACAATTTCTGATCCAAATATGAAGTTCCTTTGTCAAAGATGTGTTGATGCTTATGGGAAATTCATTGCAAAGAAAATGTTGATTTCAGCCAAGCAAGCCTTGCAGAATCACAAATATGACAATGCCGAGTCTTTTGTTGTGAAAGCTCTAAAAATTGATACTACTTGCCACGAATATTTCAAAAGCTACCAAAATAAAGTGCCAAGTGAGATTTTTTATGATATGAATATGTATGAGGAGCTCTCTGAGGCTGCTTGTAGAATAATTGAAAAGCTTTAGGTACGAGGCTGATGCCTAATAAATTGCTTTGTTATGCATTTCTTAGTTGGCATCTTTAGTCAACGTTGTGTTTTAGACTAACAATATATATATATATATATATATATATATATATATATATATACACACACACGTGGGAGATATTTTCACTCCGGAGTAAAATTTATAAGTGTTATTCTTCATTTTAACGGTTGATTTTTGCTAATCTAATGGTTATATTTTAAGAAGTCATATTAATTAATTAATTATTAAATAAATTACAAGTGACAACCGTTGATTTTTGTCAATCAACAACTGAGATGAGAAGTAAAATTTTTAAGTCTTAGTCACTTCACCACGAATTAATGGTGACAAGAGTATGCATTAGGATGGAGAATAAAAATAAAAAATGAGTTGTTCATGAAAAATTGAGATCGTTTCACATGAAGCGTTGCTTTTCAAAATTCCAATAACGTCGAATGGTTTGTGCCCAGAGTTGTGTTCAGTTAGTCAGCTTACAGAACTCGGTACCCTTAAATAAGTTTAGAATTTAAATAAATCAATATTAAAACAAGACGACAGTTAGTAAAGGAATAAAGTTATACAAATCTTGAACAAATGAAATTATACAAAAATCAATAATAAAGCAGCAATTAATAATAGCATTAAATGCATGTTGACTATTGAAGAGAAAAATGACCTATTTTTTATTCAAAATAAATAAAAAATATATATTATGTCGAATTTTTTCCTTAAAGCAATCCTTTGGGACATTTATCAAGCACTAAGGAAGTATATTGAACACTTAAACAACAAAATATTTTTAATAATAAAAGTTAACAAAAAAAATATTCATTTGGCTAATAATAAAAATATTTTTAATAATAATGATAACAATAATTTCCTTCAAAAGAATATCATTTTTTATAACAGATAATTTATACAAGCTCCTAGACAAATATTCATTTTTAGTTTTAAAAAACCGTAGAGTAAAACTTTATTTGAATTCCTAAAAGATATATTTTATAAATTTAGTCCCTTACGAATAAATTTCATCAATAATTAATTAAAATTCATATTCTTTTAATATATATATATATATATATATATATATATATATTTCACTTTTTATATTATTAATACTTCTTTTAATTAAAATAATAAAAACTAAATAAAAAATTGTTAAGTAAAAGATGCGAATCAGCTCTTGCAGCTCAAGCAACTCATGAGAATAAGCCTAGCACGAGTAAAATGTAGACTTAGCGTCTGTTTGATTGTGTTTTAGTTTTTTTTGTTCTTAAAACAATTTTATAGAATTGTTTAAAAGAATTGTTTTTCTGAACAAAAGAAGGAAACAAATCCGCTTGATAAAATTATTTTTAAAAGAGTATTAAAACTTAAAAAACAAAAAGAAAATTGCTTGATAATTTTGTTTTGAAAACATATTTTCAAAGTTAGAAAACAGAAAACTCGTTTGATTATTTTTTTTCATTTTGTAATTTTGCCCACTTAAAATACCCAAAAACTGGGATCCAATTATTGGTGAATCTCTTCGAAATCTGCTCAACCAAAATTTTTGATCCATGAAAACCATGTCCGTCAGGCGTCAAGTGTTTAAGCAACTTTCTTCAGAGAAGAATGTTTTTCTTTTAACAGTGCTGATTGTTTAGATATAACTGAAAACTTAGATATATTGCAAAAAGTAGTTTCAAACGAACAAGGAATTATTTTCCTTCTTTCTTCGTGAATATTGATTGAAGTGGATAATGATAACAGGAGAGAGACAGAGAGATTGAGAGGAAAGTTAGAGTTGGGGAAAAAAATTGAAATCGTAAATGATTTATAATAACATGTTTGTATTTACACTATTGCCATTAATAAAATTAGAGTGTTCTCCGTATTTTTGTAATTCTCAAAACAAAAAATGCAAAAACCAAAAAAACTGTTTTCTAAAACCCTAATCAAACAGACCCTTATTCTCTTAAATCTTAATAAGTCAAGTCGGAGTCAAGCTTTTTCTAGGCGAATCAAGCTTGAACTAGGCCTAATTTGGCTTACCTCTCACTTCCATTCCTAATTGGGGGTACAAGCAGAAAATCCAAACTCCAACTCACCTAAACAGAAAATCGAACTGCATTCTGAAAACAGAGAAATAAATAAAGGGTATGAAATTTGTACGGTATTTAGTGTTTAAAAAGAAATACATCAACACAAAACTATATATGCCCTTATAATAAATCATATTACAGAAAAAATACAAAAAGCAGAGGATAAATCACAAGTTCATGCCCCACTTGAATGACTAGATTTTGCTTTTGCATGAGAGAAAGAATTACAAAAAGGGTACTCACAGCTGCAACCTTATACTTATTTTTCTGCAATAATTAAGCATCAGGAAATTCCGATATTAGTTATAGCTGTGGAAACAGTATCATATCACCAGAAAAATGATCACCTCGCCCCTGCTGCAATGGTATTGGTCATCCTGGATGGGCCTCAGCAGCTGAAGAACTCTCCCTGTACTTCTAGTCCAATATGGAAACATGAACTCTTAAAACTTACCATCACAAAAGGTGCAAACGACCTGGACATCAAGAAGTTAGAAGCCCCAAACAGAGGGAGTCCAGGTAAAATTCAGAGTTCAAATAGCTCATGACCAGTGACTACAAATCAACTGGTAAAATATTGTACATCTCTAGAATTCATAGATCTTCAAGACAGATAGCATGATTGACCTATTCCAACCAGTCCATTCTTGCCCAACAGAGGTCACTTCTATGTTCACTATGGGATCAAAACAGCTATTTTTAGGTATAGCATATTAGAATCTTCTCACTTAACAGGACGTACACCGACTGTTCTTACACGAAATCGGTACTGGCAGTCTTCATCTTCATCGTTGTCGTCATCTTCACTAGAATCATCTTCAACACTATCCCAGCGTGCATAGTCTAGAGATGAATGTCCTTTTGGTTTTGGAATAGTTTGCCATGCTTTGGAAGGTTGCTCGGTCGATTCCCTGTTTGGCGCTTTGGGAACTAGTGCCTCTGCTGTTGACTTTTTATGCTCATAGTTATGGTCTCTTCCTTGTTTGGATGAAAACTTGGAGTCTGTTTCCTGGGGAGCACATTCAGCACTAATAATACCTTTGCCAAGTTCATCCTTTTGATGTGTCCTAGTATTAGAAGTTGCCGCATATTTCCCTCCCATTTCTTCCTTCTTATTCTCTACTTTTAGTATCACCTCAGCCTTCTCCTCTTCCTGTTCTTCGAACTCCTCTTCTGACTCTGGTATTGGAGCAAGAGACTTTCCTTGAGCAAGAAAAAAAATAAAAAATAAAAAACCATTTCTTACTACCAGCAGATAAAGTATTTTATTTACAAAAAGAAAATTCTAGGCCAAGTTAATAGGTCAGTGACTCAGTGTAACCCATTTTTTTTCTCCCTTTTCCCTTTAGCTTGCACATGCACTAAATGAGTGTCCCCACTACTAGCACGACGAGAAAGAAAGGGCAGGGAAAAATAAAAGAAAATACCCAATTAAAAAATATAAAAACCATACAAATTCTAAGGACCGCAACAACAACAAGAATTATTATTATTATTCAATCAGAACCATAGTTGTTAGTACCTAACAATACACGATGCGTATAGTGTGATACAATTCAATACGAAGGTTAAACAATAACATTATTGAAACTGACCACATATCGTAACATGAACTGCTAAATCATGCAATTTAGGATTGTATTGAAGTTTGCGATTCGAAGTTCAATCCAAAATTTGTGATTCCATATTTGGAAGTTGAAACGACTACAGAGAATCCATTCCAATATGATTCAAAAGCGATTCTAAATTCAAATTAATACGAAAATTACAAGTCATGTAAGATTAGGGAATAGAGAGTTCAAATTCAAATTATTATGAATCTGGAAAGTCATTCAAATTAACACAAATTAATAAGTTAAGAAAACAGAACACTAAAATAGAGACTTGTGCAAGCGAGCAACTTAGAACATTCAAACTTCAGGACGTTCAGGAATAGAGACTTGCGCAAGAAAACACTAAAATAGAGACTTTCTGTTTCAAACGTTCAGGAAAACAGAGAACAACTTGGAAAATAAAAAATTCAAATTACGTACAAATAACTTATATGATATTATATATTTTAAAATCACTTTTTTATCATATTTCTGAATCTTATGATTCAGAATAGGTATTGCAATTCAACAACCTTGGTTAGAACCATAAGCCCAAGCCATACTAAATAATCTCTCATCTGTGCAATGCATGCAACAGCAATGAAAACATAAGACAGAAAGGATAAACACCCTACCAATTGTGTCCTCAAGCGAGCTTGAAGTTCTTGATAGACCTCTGAGGATGGATTCAACTCTAAGAGTCTGTTGACATCAAAAAGTGCTGAATGGTACTCTTTCAGGGTGACTAGTGTTTGAGCCCGCAGCATCAATGCTCCACTGTGATTGTAATCAAGCTCAAGCACTGAGGTACACTCTTCTGCTGCCTGAAACGGTAGTGAGGGAAAAAAAAATGACACAAGTGCAAGGACAAGCAATGGTATCATTTCAGAAAGTTAAAATCCCCATCAATGTGCTACAAAACTTATAACACAAGTGCAACTAAAGAATAAACAAAAACAAACAACTCCCAATGAAACCCACATTTGCAAGTATAAGGGTAAGAAAAATCCAAATATGCAGGCTTATCCCTATATTTTTGCAAAGAGGCTATTATTTCCTGGGATGAGATTATAAAATCATAAGACAGTTAATTCAACATAAAAAACCACCCAATATTTGTTAGCATTCGACACATTACAATTACAAATTAGTAGATCCTTCGACAGAGATTGAAGAGAAAGAAATATACACAACACATTCAACTAAGCAATTTTCCATTCACAAACCATAATTTGCACATAATTGCAAGCACAAGTTCAACAGCCAATCCAAATCAATACAAACAAAATCACCAAAACTCTATACTTTGCTAGAAATAATTATACAATAAGAATTCTTTTTCAACACACCTTAACTAATCAAACAGCTCCTCCCTCTTGGAACAGGGCTTCTAAAATTACACTAAATTTTATAAAAATATATAAATTCTTTCATTTAATAAAAAAAAAAACTAATATTTCTACGTCTTAAAAACTAAAATTAAAAGAGAGAGAGAGAGAGAGAGAGGGAACCTTCTTGAAATCGTGAAGCTTGAGAAAACAAGCAGCACGATTGCTATGCAAAGCGATCTTCTGGGGCTTCGTCTTGGCCATGGCGATCGCCTCCGTGTAGAACCCTAACGCTTCGCCGTAGCGTCCGTCGCGGTACATCTGGTGAGCGCGTTCGATCTTGTTCGACGCCATTTCCATCCAAATTCTAAGATCATAAACTTCCAATAATATTTCAAATCATCATTCAATCTCTCTCTATACTATACTATGCTATACTATATATAATATACAACGAAAAAAAATTTAAAATTTAAAATTTAAAATTTCTACTTCAGCTCAATGTCAGCTCACATAGAGAGAAAGAGTAATAGAACGAAGAAACAACGCGCTTTCATTTCTTGTCTTTCAATTTTTGTTTTTTTAAGTAAATAAACAAAAAATTAATAATTCACATTATTATTATCTCTTTATTTTTTTTATAAGTACTATTATTTAAAGGGAAAAATTATTCTCATATTAATAAATTTATTTCCTACACACCCTTCGATAGTTGTGTCATCTATTTCTTTTCTTTTCTTTTCTTTTTATTTTTCAGGATGTGGAGCCCAGAAGTTTGTTTATATGACATGAGATAACTTATCTCCTTTAACATGAGATTAATAAAATTCTTATTTAAAAAACGGATTTAGTACTTTTTCCGATAATCTATAAAATGATGTTACTTTAGAGTTTTGGTAAAAAAAAAAGGAAAAAATATTTCTGCAGTTATTTTCAAAACGACAACGTTTTGGTATTGAAATCTTAAAAAATTATAAATATAAAAACTATTATAACCCTAAAATAAATTAAAATTACAAAAACACTACGATTTTCGTTTCAAAATGACGTTGTATTGGACTTACTGTAAATAATTTATCTACAATAACTGCAGAAAAAGAACCCAAAAAAAAAAATCAAACATGTGGATGGATTTGTTCTACATTAACCAATTATCTTTATTTCGAGTAACTGAGAATATAATTATGGTAAAATTCAGTAAGAGTAGCTTTATTATTTATGTAATTTTACTTGACTTGAATTGAACTAGTTGAATAATCAATAAAACAATGGATAATATTTTTTTTTTGTTTAAAATGAGATTTTTAAATTATCCTTTATATATTTTTTCAAACATCAACACAACATTGTTTGAGCCTTTGAGGTGGTTGGAAATAAATCTATCTCCGTCCGTAACAATAAAAATATTTTTCCCATTGAATACAGTACGTTTAAATGAAGTTAATAAAATTTACCATTTGGGTTTAGTTCGTCAGCCAATTTGGGGGTTTACACTTTTGAATCGGCCCATGTGCTAATGTTTTGAACCTTGGGGTAGATTTTTTGGGCTTGTTAACTACAGTGATGCATTATTTTAGGCCCAAATCTAACCACACTCATAAAACAAAAATAAAAGCAGACATTTTATACAAATATATATATAGGGGAAAATATTTCTCAAGCTGTTTGAGATAAGTTTATCTCTGGCTGTCCCAAAACTACGTCGTTTTATTTATTTATTTCCTTACATTAATTGATTCACCTTTGAATGATTACGATTCCATTTTTCTCTCTCTTCCTTTATCACCGTTGATCCATCTTTGTACGATTATGATTTAGAAGCTGAAGATAAAATTATCTTAAGCAACTTGAGAAATATATATATATATATATATATATAGAGAGAGAGAGAGCTTATCATTTGTCAAGTTGAATTAATGATGATAAAGAAAAAGAGAGAAAATGAAAATCATAACCATTCAAAGGTGAATATATGGATCAAATGAAAATGAAAATGAATCAATAAGGAAATAAATAAACAAAACGGCGTAATTTTGGAATGATCGGAGATAAATATATTTCAAGTAACTTAAGTAATATTTTTCTCGTATATATATATATGTGTGTGTGTGTGTGTGTAAACATTTCTACAGCCACTTTAGATAAGGTATCTGCAGCTACCCTTTATAACTATATATATAGCTATTTGACCCTTTTGCCCCTTATTAATTAATTAATAACCATTTTGTCCCTTATTTAAAACTATCTACCAATTTGTCTCTCTTTAATCGATTAAATTGAATATTTAATCGATTAAATAGTCAAAACTGAAAACAAAAATGGTTGACTTGAAGATTTAATCGATTAAATCTTCAATTTAATCGATTAAATCTCTCTCTTAATTTATTTAATCGATTAAAATTTATATGTAATCGATTAAATATCTCAAATGAGCGTGAAAGCATTGATACCAACTCGTAAAATGGCAACTCTTAATAAAACGCAATCAACTCTTATTAAATACAAAACACAATCAACTCCTATAATTAAATACAAAACACAATCACCTCCTATTATTAAATACAAAATACAATCACCTCTTATTAAATACAAAACGCAATCAGCTCCTATTAAATACAAGTTTTAATCGATTAAATAAATTAAGAGGGAGATTTAATCGATTAACTTGAAGATTTAATCGATTAAATCTTCAAGTCAACCATTTTTTCCAGTTTTGACCATTTAATCGATTAAATCTTCAAATTAATCGATTAAAGAGGGGCAGATTGGTAGATAGTTCTGAGTAAGGGGCAAAATGGTTATTAATTAATTAATAAGGGGCAAAAGCGTCAAAAAACCATATATATAACATTAAGACAGGTTCTGAAAAGTGACTGAGGAGAGAGTGTAACACCCCGTATATATCTGATTTGTTAACATGTCATCGTATTAAGCCACGCTTAATTAAAATGCAAAATATCTTTTTCGACATTCAATTATGACGTCATTATACTTAGCCAAGTTGATTACTTAATCATTTTCATAAAAACATCGCCTATATGTAAATTGCAGAAGACATCTAACTGAAATACCTCAATATATTAATAACAGTGAGTATCTAAAATCACGGAACTACAACACGTAGTCCGGACATAATCCTGATACATTATTAAAACTCGAATCTAAAACAAGACATAGTCAAATCAATGCGGTATGGGCAATCCCCATGCTCACCAAATAAGGCAACAAAGCCAACAAAGTCTCAACAGCAGCAACATAATCATAGCTAATCAACAAAATAACAGTAGATATAATCCAGCATCCAATATAATCAGCATAACAGCATATAATTCAACTAAGCTCCGGCCTCCTGCCGCTTGAGGTCTAAACCCCCGCATTACCTGAACCTGAAATGGTGCCCCAAACGTGGGATGAGATCTCTAAAAAGAAATCTCAGTAAGACAAGGGGTCCTCAAGGATCTTCCACCCCAAGCTCACTTACATGTGCAATATAAGTTCTAGAGCAGTTTACACAATATATATATAAGTTCAATAGTCAATGTAATGCACAGATAACCATGTCATGCATGTCAATATAATCTACTAGCCAGAGAAATGCAGGATATACGTCTATCTCCTACAAATAGTGCAAGACGCTACTTGAATCCACCCCAGTCTCACCATCTTGTATGACGCTACATAATTAGGCTTACCGTCAAAGTGGAATAACACATGCATATTATAAGGCCCTTACACATAACCGTTCAAAAGCATTCCAATCATCAAAGCATGAAAAAACATCATGCATACAAACCATTCCCCATGGGGTATGGTGGAACCAACAATGGCTAAACCGATGACACGAAAGCTTACCTTGCAAGCTAGTTATCCATACCAAGAGTCCACACAAGTTCAAAGCCCACAAACAGCACAATAACAATCTGTTAATACAATACTTAATCATCAATAATCATTACTCAAGATTACACTAAGTGATTAAGGTTTTCATACTCATTTTAACTCATTTCATGTTGTTTCTGCAGAGGTATTCGAATACTCCACGAGTAGTATTCGAATACTCCAGCTCTCTAGAAAGTATTCGATTACTTTCATTTAAGTATTCGAATACTACCAAGTATCCGAATACTTCTCCCCCAGTATTCGAATACCACATTATCCGAATCCCAAACCTCACTGTATTCGAATACTTTTCAGTATTCGAATACTTCTTCAAAGGTATCCGAATACTTTTCTTCCTAGAAAAGTATTCCCATACTCCTGCAAGGAGTATTCGACTACCCGTTTAAAACTACAGCTGCAACTCTTTACCAAATACTCTAAGATTTTAATATGTTAAACTAGACATCTCAAGATTTCTGACGACATTTTTTATGTCTCAATCGGAGTTGTATAACTCCGGTTATGATTTTTGCAAAGTTCCTACAACAAACTGAATTTCCAGCAATAGGGTTTCGACTTCAAACATAAACTGAGAGAAATCCTCTTATCCAATGGATCTGAAAATTTACATGGTTGTATCCCTATGTGTTAGATTCACATAGGTCCAAACCTCACTCAATTTAGAGCTCTGTAGCTCGAGATATCATAATTTTACTAAACTAGGTCGCTGCTGTCTCGCGAAGTATTTGTTTAGTGCATTTTTTCAGGAAGTATTCGAATACTGCCCGAAAAGTATTCGAATACTTCTTCGAAAGAATGCAGAAAACTGAGTTTTAAAGTTATAATTGGCCTCCAATGATCCAAACTCGATCTGGAGTCCAAGAACTCCTTAAACAGATGTTTATTAACATGCTTAGGACTCATAAACACATTCCTTTATTCAATTGATCAAAGTTTTACTTTTTAACCGATTAAACAAGCTTAAAATCATCAAAATACAAAGAGGTGATCATGGTATACCTCTAAGCTCAGAAAATCCGAAAATAAGACACCATAAGGGTCCTTAACATAGCACCAAAGTTCTGCCACTTCCCAAATACGAAATGCACTACAAGCTAGGACCTTTAACCATCAAAATGGCTCCCTGAAGCCTCCAAAGACAAGTAGGTGGCTTCCTCCAAGAGAACTACCAACTCAACCCCCACAACCTCTCATACTCAGAAGCTACACTCATAAATGGAGCACCTTTCAACCTCTCAAGGCTTAAGCACACTCAAATATGAAGCCTTTATGAAGAAATCAATAGTAAAGGTAATCTCTTGAAGGTTTTCTATGGAGAAGAAGGCTAAGGGAGGGTGAAGGAGAGGGTGGCAGTCAAATGCATCAGAAACCTCTACGTAGGCACATCAAAATCTGACCTAGGTTATTGTGCAAGTGGCTAAATATAGCCGACTTAAGTTTAACCACACAGTAATAGCACTAATAACTACGCCTAGAATTTAAATCTCAAACTTAGGATTTTGAACCTACTCATTTTTCTAGGATTTATCATATATTTATTTTATTTTCGCAGCACCTTCCTGGTACGTGCTTTTCCATAGTCAGTATCAGTTCTGGC